ATAGAATTTTATCTTGAATACTTAATGATAAAACATTAACTTTGCATAGAGAAGTCCAATTTAGGTGAAACTACCAAAATGTTTATCTTGATAAGGGGAATCTGATGAGCTGTAGAACACAAAAATTTGATTACAGGTTAGTGAAGACTTGTCAAATAGCCAAAAAATTAGAATAGAATCTTATTTATTGATAAATACCTAATGATAAATATTAACTTTAAATAGAGAAGTCCAATTTAGATGAAACACTGTCAAAATGTTTATATTGATAAGATGAATCTAATGAACTAGAATATAAAAATAGTTCACAGGTTAGTGGAATGTCTTTATATAGCATGAAAAAACAATAGAATTTTATCTATTGATAAATTCCTTAGGGTGAACATTAACTTTGTGTAGAGAAGTCCAATTTAGATGAAACAGCTACCAAAATTTTTGCTTCAATGAGGAAAATTTGATGAGCTATAGGATGTGAAAATTGAATAAAAGGTTAATGAAATTACTTTATATAGCATTAGCATGAAATGTTATAATAGAATTTTATCTTGAATATTTAATAATAAAACATTAACTATGTATAGAGAAGTTCTATTTGAATGAAACAGCTTCCAAAATGTTCACCTCGATGAGGGGAATCTGATGAGCCATAAAATGCAAAAATTGAATTACAGGTTAGTGAAATTTCTTTGAATAACATGAAAAATTAGAATAGAATTTTTTTTATTGATAAATATCCAATGATGAATATTAACTTTATGTAGAAAAGTCCAATTTGGATGAAACAACTACTAAAATGTTCACCTTTATGCGAAAAATCTGATGAAATAGAATGTAAAAATAGATCATATGTTAGTAAAATTTCTTTATATAATATGAAAAATTAGAATAGAATTTTATTTATTGATAAATACTTAATGAGGAACATTAACTTTGTATAGAGAAGTCCAATTTAGATAAAATAACTACCAACATTTTTGCATCAATAAGGGGCATTTGATGAGCTATAGAACACAAAATTAGATCACAGGGTAGTGAAATCTCTTTATATAATTTCAAAAATTAGAATAAAATTTTATCTATTGATAAATTCATAATAATGAACATTAACTTTGTGTAGGGAAGTCCAATTTAGATGAAACAATTACCAAAATATTCATATTGATGAGGGGAATCTGATGAATTATAGAATGTGAAAATTGGATCACAAGTTAATTAATCACTTCATATAATATGAAAAACTATAATAGATTTTACCTGCTAATAAAACAAATATTTGTTAATAACTTTAAATAGAGAATTCTAATTTGGATGAAATAACTTCCAAAATGTTTGCTTCAATGAAAGGAATCTAATGGTAGTTTTATCCCAATTAAATGGAAGTTGTCTGAATTATTATTACTTAAAAGTTTTAAATTGTGTTTTATATGAAACTTTAAATAATGATAACTTGGTCAATATCTATCGTGAAGAAAATCTAAAGGAAGTTTTTTGTATTTGAATTGATTCATTATTAATCGATATATTTCCATTTTGATACTTTTTAATTTATTTATTATGTGCAATTATTTAATGGTCATAGAAAACTTATTTATAGCTCATTAGATTTCTCTTTTTGAGGCAAATAGAATGGTAGTTGTTTCATTTCGAATGGATAAAAATTGACCAAGTAATTATTTTTTAAAGTTTCACATAAAATTCTTAAACTATGTGTTTTATATAAAACTTTAAATAATGATAAAAAAGTCAATATCTTTCGATCGGGATTAAACAAATACCATTCGATTCTTCTCTATGAGGAGAATCTAAAAGAAGTTTTTTTATTTGAATTGTAACGAATCTACTAATTTGTTAATTTATAAATGAGAGAATAAATAGCAACAACTATTTATTACACGGAAATAATATCCACAAATATTATTCCAACAAAATATAGGTTATAAAATAAATTAATTTACAAGAACTTGCTTGTCTCTTTATTTTCTTATGCCTTTATATACTAATAAAATCACATAATTGTAAATATAAATAAATATTATTACATATCTTAGGTTCATAGAACCTTTCTGGAATAGGCGACATAATATATAATATAAATATAAAAAGAAAAAAAGATACATGTGAATTAATTAATAAGAATATAAATAGAAATAATAGATATAATTCACATGTACAAAAATAGATTAAAATGATTATCACATTTCTATAACATACTTTTAGCCTGATTCTCCATGTGAAATCATTAATAATATAAATAAAAAAAAATAGAAAAAGAAAGAAAAAGAAAAATAAAGCCTACATAAAACTACTGCAGTAATTACATCAACATCGAGAACTACTACATGAATTGATTCATATTAATTGATATATACCCATTTCAGTGTTTTTTGATTTATTTATTATGTAAAATTATCTAATAGTTGTAAGAAAATTATTTGAAGCTCATTAGATTCCTTTATTAAAATGAATAGAATGGTAGTTGCTTCATCCCGATTGGATAGATATTGACCAAGTTATCATTAATTAACTTAAAGTTTCATTTAAGAAATAATTTAAGAATTTATATGAAACTTTAATAATGATAAATCAGTCAATATCTATCTGATCGGGATAAAAAAAACTACCATTCTGTTTGCCTCAACAAGGAGAATCAAAAGGAAATTATTTTTTTGAATGATTCATTGTTAATTGCATATTTCTATTATGGTATTTTTGATCATTAGGTGCACTTCGTTCTCTAGAATAAAGTTACTTAGTATCATTTTGGGTGATAATAAGCTGTAAAAATTCTTTTATATATAGTCACAATTGACTGACATATTAAATTAATTTTTTCATGGCAGTCAATCGTAGCTAAACATAAAAGTATTTTTATGACTTATGAACCAGCCAAAATGATAATAAGTAACCTTATTCTAGAGAATATAGTGCATCACTGTAAAAGTTTAAGATTTTTAAAAAATAAATTGGATGAGTAATTAATGATTTTAAAATAAAATCACTAATTGCTCATCAAATTTGTTTTTTAAAAATCTTAAACTTTTACATTGATGCACTATATTATTTTTGATGAACAGTAAGCAATAAAAATATTTTTATATGTAGCTACGTCAAACTACTATTTTTTAATAATTTTATTGTGTTTTTTGCTCTTATTTAAAGTCAAAATGCTAGTTCATAACCTTAAATATGGTAATAATTAAAAATATTTTAAATAAGTTATTCTATAACTCTGAATGATTTATAATTTGATGATTAAAATTATAGAATAAGATTGCAAATTATTGAAAAATAGTCAAATTACAAACACAAATTCAAAGAGATAAATCATGGGCCAAGATTGATCAAAATAATTTCGTTGCACAAATTTTAATTTTCATAAAGTCTTATATGTTACACATTTAAGTAAAAAATTGCGGGCAAATTTGTCCGGAATTGTTTACCGTTTAAGGAATAGGATTTATGCAAATATTAATTTTATTGAAAAGTTGTTTTTTTTCGAATTATAATATTTTAAATTTCTTAAAATTCTTTAATTTCTTTGATAATCGTTTTTAGTACTTTTCTAAAATTATTTTTTCCATAATTTGATTTTTTCTTCTTAAAGAAAGAATAAAGGCATTCATCCTCAATATGTTCGTCATATTATTTAGTAGGATTATCTTTATATTTAAACAGATTGTATATTTTGCAATGAAATATGAATTCTATAGGCGTCCTAACTAGAATTTTGCTTGCTTGTTTTTTTTTTCATAAATAAATTTTGATCGAAAATTTGATCATTTACCAAAATTTACTGTAATTTAATTGAATTAAAATTTAGAAATAATGCTTAAAAAAATTTAATAAAACTTTTGAAATATAAAGAATATATAGGTGGATGATAAATAATATACTCAATAAATATTAATAATTTATATCTATACTATCTATACTTTTGTAGTAGTTTGCAACATGAGGAGACATTAATGATGATTTAGTGTCTGTATGATGTTATGCGACTTGCTAAAAACTTAGATTCTGGATAAATATCTATTAATCAAAAAGATAAAGAGTACCAAATATTTATTGTATTATATTGAATAAAAATATTTTTTTTATTGCCTAATTGATGATCCACCAGTCAACTAGAAATTTTTTGTTTTTTTTTGTAAATGTAGAGAACTTTTACATAAAAATTTGAAATATAAAATTACATAAAAAATTATTGATGAACTTTAATTATATAGAAGATATGCTTTAATGTGACAAAAATATTTACGATAATATTTTTCAAATATGGCGAAATTTAAATTTAAAGTAACAGTTCAATTTTAATTGTTTGAAACTTATTAATCACTAGTAAAGCATCTGCATTCCATTTATATAAATTTAGCTATGGGACTTGCTATGATTAGTTCTTACATTGGAGAAGGAGCTTAAAAAAATTTTTTTTTAATTAAAAAATAACATTCTATTCTGTTCATAAAGAAATACATATTCGGAATTTTTTACGTTATCTTAAATTCAAATATTGCAAATACAATATTTGATTTATGCAATTGTTCATGGTCAGATAATTAATTATCTACATTAAAATAAATATTAAATGATAAGGATATTTTTTTTAATATTGCGTTCAATATAAATAAATATTAAAAGTATAAACTAAGTATTTATAAAAAATTTAATGTGTAATATTTGGGAAAACAAAAAACATTTTTAGGTTTGCCAATCAAAAAAAAAAATTAATTATTCATTTATTTTAAGATAAATACTATTTAAAAATTATTTTTTACGACGATTCTAACCATTTTAAATTTTATATATCTCGAGATTTTAATTTTTCGAATAAAAGGAAAAATCCAGTTTCTTATTTTGTTTGATATAGAATAAATTTGGAATCCAAAATGATTAATTTGTTTACAAAACAATTTCCCAGAATAGTATATTGTGACATTTATATTAAAAAAAATCTTACCTTATTTGATCCCTTCCGATAAATCCGATAAATAGAAGAAAATCTATTCTTCATATGGTCTTATACACTGTTATTGTTACCATTTATAGAATTTTAAGTGTTGGAGAAAAATTATACTTTGTGGCATTTTATTTTTAAATAATAAAAAGAATACTCTTCGTTTAATTATTATAATTGTTAAAATTATTTAAATAATGATGATGTCATTTTGATTTATTTGATAATATTGATATAATTGTACCGCAATATTGATTTCATTGACATTGATATGATTAGGTACAAATTTATCACCCAATTGAAGATCCTTCCTTGAACATTCATTAAAAGCTAATAAATTTTTGAACATTTTGAACATTTTGGAATTTTTGAAATGTTTGAATGGCTGGCATACCCATCTGACATATGACAAACATTATCAATATCTCGCATTCGAAAATTGGAGAATACAGTATTTCTTCATGTTTATTTTTTTTTGCTGATGGATCACTCACGTAACTAATTTTAAATATTATCACGTAATCCTCAGCTTCTTTCATCATCAAATTTTCACTTGTAAAAAAATTTCAAAAATAAAACATATGTAGAATAAGTAATCTAGCAAGATTAAACATTGAGAAGAAAAAAATGAAAGTTCTTGAGAATTACTGGTAATCAGATCGTTTCGTTTTTCACGTTTTTTATCTGCAAACTATCATATACGCCTCTTTAACTCAATGGGAGACAAAATGATGAGAGAACACGATATCTGAATACATGCATATTATTTAAAAAATTCAGTTTACATTAATTATGCGTAGGTACAAAAAAAAATAAAGTAAACATGATTTTAAGTTTATAAAACGTCTAATTTGGTTAGATAGAAAATAAAGTTTATATCATTTCTTGTACTCTGTCGTCCAATGCAAACAATGTAATTGTTTCAATGAAAAAAAAATCGAAAAAAAAATATTAATAATCTTCCCCGACAAATGTAAGTGCATTGCATAAAGCAAGATTTAAAAAATTAGATTTCGGTTGAATTTTTTTGATTATCTAACGAGATCATATTTATTTATTATTTTTTAAATAATTTTTTTGACCCAAATTTTAATTTTTTTTATCAATTGTATCACGTGATTCAAAATTATTCGGGTCTAACATTTCATTATATCTTTACTAAATAAAATAAGTGGTTCGACTCATTTGCTTAATTTACGACTACACTCACCTAGCAAAAGTATCCGACCACTTAAAATTATCAATCATAAAGTAAATTTTTATCCGTTAATAACTTATGATCTAACATTTAAAAATGTGTCAACTTTTTTTTATTTTTTTTCCCTAGTCTTGGGCTTTCATATGATATCTTAATTACTAATTTTGGATGCATAGTCGTCAAGAAATTTTGATTCAAATAACATCAA